TACCTAATTTAACATTATGATATCAATATCCCCCACACTAACAATGAACTGTCCCAAATTCAAAGCAGGAAAAGTCCATTTAAAAAAACTAGAGGTCTAAATGTTAATCTGTAGAAAAGCTTTCACAAGAACAAAATGTTGAGGCCAGTCAATTTGCACCTAACTCTTGAGGTGTCTGGCAAGATCGAAATTGCCCTATATTGAATTTAAGCATGCACTTAAATTTTTCGTTTTAATGGCTTAAGTTTCCATTGACAATGGAGCATTTGTTCATTTATATACAAAGTCCATTCCTTGCTTGAACCAGAACTGTTTTTATTATTATTATTATTAAACTATTTGCATTATTTTTACAACATTATCATTTGATATTAGTCTCTCTATTAATACTTTTAAGGTAGCTCGCTACTTTCCGACCGAAATTTGACAATATCTCAGATCTTGATGATTTCTGGAATACAGTTATGTAGATATGTAAGCTTTACTTCTGCAGCATTATTTTATAAATTAACAGCGTTACTATGACGTCAAAGCGCCCTCTATCGGTGGCGGCAAAATTGCGTTTTTTTATCAATAAACCGGTCTGTTATTATCAATTTTCATCCGATTTCCTTCATTTTAATTTCATAATGTTCAGTAAATGTATGTCTTTGTAACGATGTAATTCTTGAACATTTGCTTAATACTCTGCGATTCTACGTTATTTTCCCTCACGTTCTGACGTCCATATTTGATGCAAATATCGCGCGATATCGCATTAAAGATAGTGAAATAATAAAAAATCAACACGGTGAATTTTGCTTTAATTTTTTTAACATGTAGTGAAGTCATAAAAAAAAATATTTATGCAATAAAAATATAGGGTCAACGCGTGAGATATTTTGCTATTACTATTTGAATATAAAATAAAGGGTGAGTAAAACGTAATGATTTTGGTGACGTCAAATATTTTTCTCAAGGAAATTTTCACAACTTTTTCGATAAATAACATACTGACAGGAATAAAAATGTGTGAAAACCATGAACAACAGTAGTTTGTAGACATGTTCCCTAAAAAATGTTCTTTTAAAAGTCCTGTCAGATGCCTGCATTTCGATGAATATCTCCAATTATATATATACATGTTCAACAAATCAGGGTATAACTGTCTGCAAAAGTTGGTATCAATCGCTAAAAAACTGCAACGAATGGATATAAATACCTCGAGGACTGAAAGACAATTCAGAATATTGAAAGATATAATTAAAAGGCCACCTAAGTGGTAATTATAAAAACATAAATTTTGCAAAGAATGTCAGAAAAAAAGAATGAAAAGGCTGGTGCAGTCGCAATGTCATCATGTTATGTGTATCTCGGTACAACATAAACTTCCATGTTATCATATGTAACAATTTTGAATTGTATATATCAGTTAGTAGGAACAGAGACATAGATAACATCTATGTCTGTGGTAGAAAATGAATGGAATTTACGTTTCAAAAATATATGATCAACTGGAAGTAGCAACGATTTGTACGTAAGCCATGATTCACTGGTAGTCTTAATTATATTATAAATCTAGCAGACATTTAATTCAAAAATTTTCTACACGTATAAAAATTTATTTATTAACAACCATCAGTTCTTCTGTTTTCTCTCGCAGCTAAATACCCTGCACTAAGCGTGAGACTCAGATTTAAAGCAGGAATCACGCTTTCATGCTATAGCTTTAATTTCTCACGTATTTCACATAATTACAGATATTTTTATTTATTTTAAACTAGCTGACTCGCGGTATGTGTTTACTAGAGCATCTTTGAGGCGACCTGAAGCCGCGGTCATTTCTCGATTAGAGGCGAAAGATCCGTTGATTAATTTTGTATGTTCAGAAGCGGAGAATTTTGCATATTAACCCATTACTTCATATACACGCCTTTTAACGCCTTTTTCACCCCCCCCACCCTTTTTGTTGTCTCAAATGATGAAAAAATGCCTTATTTAGGCCCCAAACACTTGTTTTTGTTTGAGAAATGTTGTTAAAAAAAGTGACCTCTTTTTCGGCGCGGCCCCCCAACCAAAAGATACATCAGGGGGTTGCCGTTTGGGGGGTTTGAAGGGGGGCGGAGTCCCCCTCATCGCCAAGAAAATTTTGGACTTGTGAGAGGCTGTAAATGACCCCAGATTGATCATAAGGTAATGTGTAACCAACGCTGAAAAACATTTGACTCTATCTCAATCCATTGAGAAGTTGCAGCACTTTGAAATCAATTTTGATGGAAAAAATCAACGCAAAATAGTGATTTTTGGCAATTTTGAGATGTCCCCTCGTTGCCATGGTAACAGAAAATTTAAGCCTGAGCATGTTGTTGCAAGGGCAATTGTCCAGTCAACATTTGTGCCAAGTTTGATTAGTGTTGAAACAGTTTTTATAGTATTATAGCAATTTGAACTTGTAACGGGAGACTTTTCAATGAAAACAGCCATTTTTCACAAAATGCTCATGAAGCAATGGGTTAAATACAGATTCCCTTGTATTGAAGACCATGTAGGATCCTCAATTTGTGTGATTATGGTTGTGGGAGAAGCTCGGTTTTTTTGTCTGCACATAATGCAGTGCTATGTAGAGCCTATGAAAATAATGAACTATGCATTTTATGTTTTATATCTTTTTATTTTTTTAATATTGGGTTTAACGCCGCTTTCAACAGTATTTCAATTAAAGCGGAGGGAATTTAACGAAACCAGTGCTTCTCACAGTATCAACTGAATGACAGCAGTCCGAGGTGGACCTTGAAACATTTCATACATAGTAAACAATTCTAAAGGATAATCTATTAGTACAATACGCAATCGTGTCCCGAATCCATGCCTTTCGAATTCAGCGTAAGACCACTTTACCGATTACAACGTGGCAACAGAAGAATATTCAAAGTAAAAAAAACCTGATAATGATCTCCGTTTATAAGGGAGAAGTCCATTTTATTGCTAACATCATAAACACGTGTTGTTGGTGTGTGTTTTGAGGTTGTTTTATTTTCTTGTTTTTTGTTTTTTTTTGTTTTAAAGCAAACTGTATTGTATTAAAAAATGAACAAGATAACGTCAACACAATACATTATTCGTATTCAGTGGTAACAAAAGTTGCACAAGTTATTTAATAATTATATTTTGTATTTAATTAAAATATACAGTATAACCTTTACAGATAAAATGCCCTTTGTTGCCTAGAGTGGTTGCTCTACAGAGGTAAAATGTAGTGGAACTCTTTAGAAATAAATAATACTTTGAGGGCCGCTATGTTATACTGTACAGTAATGATAAAACGGTAATGAATCCAAGTTGAGTAATGGTTATATTGGGTGTTTCACATTCGAATCTGCAGTTGCGAATATGCTTATATATTTTTTTATTCAGTATGATTTTGCTTCCAAAATAGTTTATAGTTTGTCACATAAGTGCTCATTTTCTAATTATCATGGCATTTTAATTAGATTATAATTATATAATCTATGTATTGCACAGACTTAAACATGGTAAGCAAAAATAAAAATAAAATAAAAGTCTTTCTTTCTTGTACAGTTTGTTTTTAAATATTCTTAAAGGGACTCCACTGAGGTTGAAAAGCCAAACACATAACATTTGAATTTCTTACATAAATGAGCTGGGCACTTTAAACAGAAATATATGCGAAGATAGTTAAAAAATATACTTTGAAATAAATTGAAAATCGTATTTTTATGCTTTTGTTAGCCCGATTTGGGTGAAAAGCGTTTAAACGCATTTTGAATAATTATTCTGGAAAAACGAAGTGCGCGAATTCTCTGAAATTTTGCACAAAGATTCGTGGTCTAAACTTACATCAAATGGTAAACTTATCTGGAAAAAATATTTTCAGTTCCATCATGTCAAAATACCTCAGTGGAGTCCCTTTAACATATTTGAATGTTATTTCTGAATTTTATTTATCACTTATTTCGGCACATTTGTATGCCTATCTATTTGAATTGTATTTTTACGATGTGTTTTGACACCGAGGCTCGTCTGCCTTTATGTGATTTTATGAAAGTGTTTAAAGGCTGAATGTAACGTAAAATAAATATTCTACGGGTATAAGCTAAGCGACCTAATATTCTTACTTCATTCATACAGCAATATGTGAACTTTATTTTTTGCGCTAAAACTAGTTAATTCATATAATAATATAACACTTTAACAACATCACATTATAAAATTAGAATTAAATGATGTATGAGACTGTGTCCTGCAAATTAGAAAAGTATTTAAAAAGGGATTGTCGGATTAAAAATTGTAAATGTGCTCATCTAGCGCATGCTTTCAATGAGAAAATAATCAACAATTTAAAAAATATACATTTCATCAAGTCCCTGTGTTGTTTATACTTACTATCGTAATGTTTGACGTAAGAAAATTGTTATTTGGTATTATTCTTTGAACTCCAACAACTATTAACGTCACCAAAATCATAACGTTTCACTCACCCTTTATTTTATTTTAAAACAGTAATAGCAAAATATCTTACGCGTTGACCCTATATTTTTATTGCATAAATATTTTCCTTCACTATCTCACTACACGCTCGGAAAATTATAGCAAAATTCACCGTGTTGAATCTTTTTTATTACACAATCTTTAACGCGATATCGCGCGATATTTGCATCAAATATGGACGTCAGAACATAAAGAAAAATGACGTAAAATCGCAGACTATTAAGTAAATGTTAAAGAAAGACATCATTACAAAGACATACATTTACTGAACATTATGATATTAAAATGAAGGAAATTGGATGAAAATTGATAAGAACAGACCGGTTTATTGAAAAAAAGACGCAATTTCACCGCCACCGATAGAGGGCGCTTTGACGTCATAGTAACGCTGTTTATTTATAAAATAATACTGCAGAAGTAAAGCTCACATATTTATATGTTTGCATACCAAAAATCATCAAGATCTAAGATGTTGTCATATTTCGGTCGGAAAGTAGCGAGCTACCTTAAATCAAATTTAGCATTTCTGCTACACTGAGCAAGTCTAGTTACTTATAGCAAAAATATTTTAACATTAAATATTATCTACTAAATTATTAATTACATTTAGCACTTTACAATCAAATTTAGCATTTCAGCCAAATTTAGCACATAAATCTTTCATATAACATAATCATTTATTAGTAGCACTTCTACAAATATAAGCACTTTTCAGGTAATTTTATTATTTTTTCTCTCTAAATTTAGCAATACTCATGCATTTCATTTTCATCAAGCACTTTTCATAATAAATTGTACAACACAACACGAAATAATAAAGCTAATTATGCAATAATTCAAATGTCTGTTTTTTTTTGCCCTAGTTTTAACATTGACATTTCAGAACAACACCTCAAAATGTTTAAAAATATACATTATAACAAAAGCATAATGCTTTATATGAAATTTACAATTTTTTAACATTTTTAACATGATATTTAACTTTAAACAGTATCATAACTTTATTCATCATGTTCCTAAGGTTACAAAAACATTTCATTCAAATCCTCTATCTAAACCTTACAGGCATCTAGATCTACTGAAATAAATATACTATATTTTTTGCTGGCAATTTGATCTGTCAATAAATAAATGTTTTATCTTCATAAGATGGTAAATATCACATCAGTTCTGCCATTTGAGATGCGTACTCTGTTCCTAGTAAGCCTCGACAGAGTAGCGTGAACTCCTTCACTAAAGCTCGTACCTTCGTCTTACTAGTTCTTTCCCTGGAATACAATCATGTTTATGTTTTGTTTATTTTTAGCTGACAAGAAATCTGGCCTCACTGTTATAAAACTTTATCCTGAGCTCTGTCTCAAATTTCAAGATTTTCATTGGTCAGTGTATATTCTGTGTTGTTTTCAGACCAATCGAATGCCTGAGATATGAGTATGAGCTAAGAACATTTTTTTTATAACCTCGAACCCAGGTGTAATAATTCAAAGAATAGAATGAATAAAGTACTACTACCTACCTATTCAGCAATTTAAAAACCGGTAAATAAAAGATTTACTGACTTCCTGAATCGTGATGACACTGACTCAATGGTCATCTTAGTTTCCCCTCCTGCAATCAATGCCATTTTAGGTAGAGTTGGTAGGTAGGGAAAATATTTTTTTTATCCAAAATATTTTAATTTATTGAATAAAACAAATTTCAAAAACAAATTTTGAATGTTTAGCATCTGTTTAAAGTTTACAAAAAAAGATTTACCAAACCTATATCCCAGTTTGTATATTTACAATGCAGAAACATGAGTCTAACAGGTAAAAGAGATGAAGTAAGACCTCATCAGTTGGTTCTGCTTCAATCTTCTGTAATCTAGCTGGTTAGCCTCCTCTTAAAGAAAAACTTCGGACTCCACGTCACTATGGGGACATGGTTTAAGCATCTATAATCACTAAGTGACATGAGTACATTCTGTTACATAACAACAGCCTATATAAATCTAAGCCTCAGTTAACAGCCCATATAAACCAATCTTAATTCATTACCAGAAAACAGCCTTTATAAATAATTACCTGAAAAAAGCCTATAATATACCCAGTCTCTAGTAACAACCTATATATATGTATCTTTATAAATTACCTGAGAACAGCCTTTATAAATCTATCTTTGTCATCGCCCGTACAACGTACACTTGGGTAGCCCTCTTTGGTGACAAAATCTTGTGACCACATTCTAATTTGTTCCAGATAGTGTTTAGAAAGGCAGAACAACACATCAGCAATGCTTTCCATGATCATGCGTGGAGATTCACCTCCTATAGCCTAAAACATTGAATAAAAGCAATAAAAACTTATATATTATTTCTCCATTTCCCCTGATAACACTGGCCAGCTTATACCACCAGTATAATCTAAACCAACTTGTTTACATGAATATGTTCTAAAAATTTCATATTCAATAAAATATAATCAGTTAAATAAAAACAAATGCTTTTCTTAGCTTTGACATTAAGTCTTCTTCAGAAATATTGTAAAATAACAAAATGATGCAACACCCCCGTCTAACTATTATTATTTTCTTTTTTTAATAAATAAATTCTTTTGAATTTCATCTCTTCACAAATCCGCAGTCAGTTTTTGTTTAACAGATAAGGATAATAATAACAGCACCAATTCTAATAACATTAATGATATTAATGATAAATGTAATATCAAGAATATTGTTAACATGATGGAATTTTCTCAGGGGTGTTTGATAAATATAAGATATAGCCTTAAAAGTAGGAAAAATAGGGCAATCTACTTTTAACATTCATGAAATTAAGAACCCAGACACAATCATACAGGTCTTTGTCAAGAATAAGCACACCTAACATCTAAGATATTATTAATGACAGTCAGTGTGACAGAGGACAAACTGGAAATTATATTCTATAAGGCAAACTTTAGGGAGCATTGTAAAAGCTCTAGATCTCCCTTTTTAATTCTGATATTTGAAACCATTCCCCTGGCCAAAAAGTATTGTTTTTCTCTTATTTGCAAGCAAATTCCTGCTCAATCCAGAACATATATACATGATTGTCAAAAAATAGTTCATTCAACTGTTTATGTCTGTACTGAATGTTACTGAAATTTAATTTATCGAGAACGAAACTTTTTTTTAATAAAACTTTTGTATATATGTTCAGAAAAAAATTGCCTATAAGAGAAAACAACTTGAACTTTCCTTGCATACAGACACAGGTACTGTTCCCTCAAATAAGAGAAAGTGCCCTGATAAATATACATATGAGCCGCCCCATGACAAAACCAACATAATGGGTTTGCAACCAGCATGGATCCAGACCAGCCTGCGCATCCGCGCAGTCTGATCAGGATTCATGCTGTTCGCTTACAAACCCTTTAACAAGTAGAGAAACTAATAGCCAACAGCACGGATCCTGATCAGACTGCGCGGATACACAGGCTGGTCTGGATCCATGCTGGTCGCAAAACCACTTTGTTGGTTTTGTCGTGACACAGCTGATGTATACATACCCTCATGATCCTGTCAAGAAGTACTTCCCCCTGTGACATGACCACCTCTTGTACCACAACCACGTCTTTCTGTGAGATCAATTCTGTCTGTAAACAGTAAACATTACACTAGTCATACATGGACTACAGACATGATCCTTGAAATAATAACTACAACAACAAGAGCTGTCGGTAGGACAGCATGCTCGACTATTCTAAGTGCTTGATAGTAAAGAGCCTTGATAATGTTAAATTTTCTAAGTTCACAAAAGGGCTAATTTTTTTTTATAAATTTCATGTTATAGGCCTTAGAAAGAGTCTAATTATACAGTATTGGCTTGACTATTCGGAAGGTAATGTCACAAGGGTGTTTTATTGAGTATAATAATACTAATTACCTATGCATACATAAAATTGACAGAAAAGGTACAAAGGCTTGTTATTAAGATGTTTTATCAAGTAAATCACTGCTTTATTATTATGAATGCATAAAATTGTCCCAAAAAAGGCACAAACCTTTCAGTAGTTATGGAGATAACAGCTTACAAGTAAAACTTTACCATGAATTTCTAAGTTGAAAAAGGGAAGAAAAATCAGCCTAAATGCAAGATAGAATTATGGATCTTTGTCAGTGACCTACAATTCTGACCCTAAATGCATATGTGAAGTTTTAAATAAATATCTTTAATAGTTATTGAGATATGTAAAACTTGCATGTAAACATTAACCAGGAGACAGTAGAAAAGGGGATATGAATCAGCCTTAATACAAGATAGAGTTATGGAACTTGGTCAGTGACATACAGTTATGACCCACAAATTATGACCCTCAGTACATGTGTAAAGTTTCAAGTAAATATCTTTGAAGACCTTTAACCTTTAACCAAAATTTCTAAGTTTCAAAGGGGCAAATAATTCTGCAAATATTGCAGACAGAGTTATGCAATTTTGCAAAATGATGTACATTGTTACTATAAAAAAGTATTGTAAATTTCAATTGAATATCTCAAGCAATAATTGAGATATTTGACTTTACAAAAAAACTTTAACCAAAATTTCTAAGTTAAAAAGGGGCATTATTCTGTCAATATTGTAGACAGAGTTATCCAGCTTCTCAATCTGATGTACCTTGTTACTATAAATAAGTACTGTAAGTTTCAATTGAATATCTCAAGCAATAATTGAGATATTTGACTTTACAAAAAACTTTAACCAAAATTTCTAAGTTAAAAAGGGGCATAATTCTGTCAATATTGTAGGCAGAGTTATCCAACTTGTCAATCTGATGAACCTTATTACTATAAATAAGTATTGTAAGTTTCAATTGAATATCTCAAACAATAATTGAGATATTTGACTATACAAAAAACTTTAACCAAAAATTCTAAGTTAAAAAGGGGCATAATTCTGTCAATATTGTAGGCAGAGTTATCCAACTTGTCAATCTGATGTACCTTGTTACTATAAATAAGTATTGTAAGTTTCAATTGAATATCTCAAGCAATAATTGAGATATTTGACTTTACAAAAAACTTTAACCAACGCAGACGCCGACGAGGACGCTGACGCCGACGCCACTACAATAGCTCTCATATTCTTCGAATAGTCGAGCTAAAAACAGATCAGCAAAATTATCTCAAGTTTACTAGATAAAGAATGTTCGTAATACAGATATGTACTGAAATATCTCAACACGGTAACGAGAAAATTAGGCTGAAAACTCTAATACATCTGCCAAACAAAAGATAAAAATGATTATAAAAACTTACCAGGAATAAACAGGAAGCTTTCACTGTATGATTTTCAGGTAATGACATGCCCACCATACCTGAAGATGATAATAGTAAATATAAAAGCTGTAATCAATCATGAATCCCAGTCATGAAATATCAATGTAAAGTTATGTTATAGTTACAGAAAAGTTATACAGTTAAAGAAAAGTTAAGAGAATTTATCGATAGTTAAACAATGAGAAGTGACAGCACAGTTATACAAAAGTTACCCAGAGAACTCAGAACTTTGGAGAGTGACAAGTATGATATAGAACAGTTATAGAGAATACAGAACAGTTGGAGAGTTACCGATATGTTATAGTTATACAAAAGTTACAGAGAGAATGCAGAATAGGTTTTTACAGATATGTTATAAAAAGTTATAGATAAATAACAAAGAGGTTACAAAACAGAAATGTTTGTAAGAGGATGCAGAAAAGTTACAAAACGATTTTATAGAGACTTCACTCAACGATTACAGGAAAGTGAAAGGAGAGCTAAAACTATGAAAAGTAGAAGAAATTATAACAAGAGCACCGCTAGGCGGAGCATTATATGCCCGAAAGTGTTCTTTTTTTATATATTAAGGATGAAGCATTTGTAAGACATTACATAAATTAAATAAAGTATTACCTCCTTCCAATAGCAATCCTCCTATAAAGTTTGAATATTGTGGGCCAAATAGAAATTAAGTTATGCTCCGAAAACTGTTTTCAGTTTTAAAGTAATAGTGACCTTGACCTTTGACCTTGTGACCCAAAAATCAATAGGGGTCTCCTACCCAATATGGACATTTATCCTGTGAAGTTTGAACACTGTGGGTCACATGGAACTTAAATTATGCTCCAGAAACTGTTTTCAGTTTTGAGGTAATAGTGACCTTGACCTTTGACCTAGTGACCCCAAAATCAATAGGGGTCTTCTACCCAATATGGACAATCATCCTATGAAGTTTGAACACTGTGGGCCAAATGGAACTTAAATTATGCTCCGGAAACCAGTTTTCAGTTTTAAGGTGATAGTGACCTTGACCTTTGACCTTGTGACCCCAAAATCATTAGGGGTCTTCTACCTAATATGGACAATCATCCTATGAAGTTTGAATCTTGTGGGCCAAATAGAAATAAAGTTATGCTCCGGAAACTGTTTTCAGTTTTAAAGTAATAGTGACCTTGACCTTTGACCTTGTGACCCACAAATCAATAGGGGTCTCCTACCCAATATGGACAATCATCCTATGAAGTTTGAACACTGTGGGCCAAATGGAACTTAAATTATGCTCCGGAAACTGTTTTCAGTTTTAAGGTGATAATGACCTTGACCTTTGACCTTGTGACCCCAAAATCAATAGGGGTCTTCTACCCAATATAGACAATCATCCTATGAAGTTTTAATGTTGTGGGCCAAATGAAACTTAAGTTATGCTCCGGAAACTGTTTTCAGTTTTAAGGTGATAGTGACCTTGACCTTTGACCTTGTGACCCCAAAATCAATAGGGGTCTTCTACCCAATATGGGTAATCATCCTATGAAGTTTGAATGTTGTGGGTCAAATGGAACTTAAGTTATGCTCCGGAAACCAAATTGCTAACGGACGGACGGACAGACGGACGGACGGATAGACAGACGGACAGACGGACGGACGGACGGACGGACGCCAGGGGGTATAACATAATATGCCCGAAATTCTTTCGGGCATATAAAAAAGAGCTGACATATTTCATAGTATTTAATTTATCTAGAAATAGTCCTCTCTAAAAATACCTGCAGATTATTGTACAAATATGCACACTTTCACAAACTTTTTTACAATCACTCAAACGTGAAACAAATTTATATACTGTAAAATCATTATTATTCGTGGGGCACGAATTTTCATGGTTTTCGTAGGTAGGTCAATCCACGGATTTAAAATCCAGCGAAATTTTATCCCAAGAATTACTTCTAACCATGTCTCTATTCTATACATGCGTCATCGCTTTTTCGGTTGATTATTGTGTTATGATGGTATACAGATAATCAGGTGAGTGACAGATTAAATCTATAAATAGTTTAGGTTTGCAATATTTAAGAAACTTGAAAGGAAAGTCGATTATATGTCCTGAATTTCGGTCGTATATACACATCACTGAAGATGCTTAATTGTTGTAGGCTACTTGATTGTGCTATCCAGAATACTTGACATAATCGAGTAACAAGAGCCACCGCTGGGCAGGGGCAACGTTCAACTTTTTACTTTCTCAAAAAGCAAACAAAGAAATGTTTGAACAAATATTAACGTTTCCTTTTTATAAAATTAATCATTCTGTCTTGTCACTTTAGTTTTGTCTATATATAATATATATATAAATTTACTTATTTATATATAAATAAATAGAGACACGCAATTCGAAGTCACGTGGTGGTGTCACGTGGTGAAGTCACGTGGTGGAGTCACGTGGTGGAGTCACGTGGTGGAGTCACGTGGTGGAGTCACGTGGTGGAGTCACGTGGTGGAGTCACGTGGTGGAGTCACGTGGTGGAGTCACGTGGTGGAGTCACGTGGTGGAGTCACGTGGTGGAGTCATGTGGTGGAGTCACGTGGTGGAGTCACGTGGTGGAGTCACGTGGTGGTGTCACGTGGTGGAGTCACGTGGTGGAGTCACGTGGTGAAGTCACGTGGTGGAGTCACGTGGTGAAGTCACGATAAACAACAAGGTCTTGTCTTTAAGTATGTTCTGTTATAATATGAAGTTGATCCCTTCAATAATAGCAAAGTAACAGCCAGTTACAGCCAAAACAAAGTCAAGGTCATTAATGAGTGAAGGTCAAGGTCTGTCAGGTTATTTTTAAGGGTTATCCTTGAAGATTATTATGTTCAAGTTTGAAGACAATCCATTCAAAAATAACAAAGTTACAGCCAATTATAGCCAAAAACATGAAAATTTCAATAATTTGACCTTCAAAGTCAAGGTCATTTATGAGTGAAGGTCAAGGTCTGTCAGGTTATTTTTAAGGGATATCCTTGAAGATTATTATGTTCAAGTTTGAAGACAATCCATTCAAAAATAACAAAGTTACAGCCAATAACAGCATGAACAAGCAAAATTTGGACTTTTAACCTTGAAGGTCAAGGTCATTTATGGATGAAGGTCAAGGTTAGTGTGGTCTACTGAAAGGTCTTGTCCCAAGGGTTGTTGTGGCCAAGTATGAAGACAATACACAAAGAAATAAAAAAGTTATGATCCAGGTACAAGTTTGCGGACGGCAACGCCGCCGTGACTATAACAATACCTCTACTTTTTTTTTCAAAAAAAAAAAAGTCGAGCTAAAAATAAGAAACCAGTGCAATAATTAGCGCTAATATAAATTGTCAGTTTGCTCTTATTTATTGTTAATAGAATTAAAGAAATCTTTATATTAATGTTGTTAGTTAAGTACACAAAAATATAATAAACTATCACTAAAACGGATAAATTGTACATCCTTTTGTCGTCTTCAAATGATCCAGTTTAAATGAAATTTAAACTGCCATTCCGTAAACATCAAAGATGCTGCCGACTTCTTAATATATCCGCACAATCTCGTATTATTTACTCATATCAATTCATATGCATGTAAATTTACACAGTCGATGTGATGTTGCGTGTATTACTGTCAAATATAGAAAGACCCATTCAGGGTGTAAACTTTTTAAACTCGCTGGTTAAAACGTGTCAGGGGTCGTATAAATTATGCAATGTTTACATCGGCGAATCACAGGGGCAGTGTGTACACTGGAGCTGCATATCATGTCATCTAAATGTGTTAATTGCAGTCAATTATCGGCAGTAAATGCTATCTTTATGTTATGCCTAGAGGCAAGGATTAATATTAGATTATTGACAAGCGCTATGTGATACATAAAGATATGTTCATGCGGTAAGTAAAAATGCGCGGCGATTAATTGTAAGATTACTTTTCATTAGGTTATTTATTTTTTTACAAGAAAATGAAAATCCACGAATTTAAGAACCCCTGAAAATGCCCGTTTTGATAAAACTACGAAATTTCATGCCCACGAATATAAGTGAATTCGCAGTACACCAGTTGTGCAACAGACTTGGTGAGGACCCTCTCCCTTAACCCTTAGCTGGTGGCAAAAAATTCTACCCATACAAACAATGAAGACCAAGATCAGCCAGCACATCTTCACGGTCTGCAATATTCGCTTTGTCTGTACAACTCAACATTCAGTCATTACATATTTTGGAATTTTCCCTAAATAGATGAATGGTTTTGTCTTTTTTTTTAAAGATAGACAAGTCCATTTAAGATATTCAGGGGGAAAAGGGTTTATAATTACCTGCTTGAAATAGGCCATTTATGTTGTTTCCAGGCTCAAATAGAACATGTTTAGTCTTCTTTAATACCTGAAACATTTACAACACATTTATATGTCAATATATGCCATTAATCATTCAGTTTTATCTATATTTCATTCAATTTAGTTTAATGGAGCTTTGAGGTAAAAAACCCTAAACACCTAAAACTCAAAATCCATATCAACTAGAGCATATTTTAACTTAAAAATATGCAAAAGATAAGAAACAATTAAATTGAAATCTAGTTTTACTATGATTTCTTTACCCAATATTTTAAGTAACAGTGTTTAACCTTTAACCCCATGAGCATATTGTGAAAAATGGCCATTTT